TGTATATGCACTTTCACTACATTCATGTATCTTTTCTGTGCTTATCCTATTTCCCTCCTGCCTCCATGTTCAACACCCTTTGCGCAATGTAGTCACCATCCCACCACTGCACACGTCTAACATGTCTAAACCTTGCCTCTCTAGCTTTGTCTCCAAACAACTCAACCTAAGCTATCACTCCGTTGCATTATTAATTCTCATTCCTAATTTTGTCCATTCAACCCTGACACTCATCTCCACCAACACCTTTGTGCACTGACCAATGCTTTGGATGATTGATCCCTGGTAATGGACCAGTCATGTACTTTAACTCCCTTTGCCCCGGTTTCACTGTTACTCCTACCTGTCTCTCATTCACACATGTATTCAGTGTAAAGGGGCCAGAGCAAGAAGGGGCTGTAGACAAATACTTTCTTGGCAGTTTCCCTAACCACGTCAGCTGTACTTTTCCCAGTCATCTGGCAGTTCTTCCCTACAACCCTTAACTCCTTCCTAAATGCTGCATAACATTCTTCCTTCAGCTTCCATAACTTAGTCCTTTTCTCATTCCCTTACTCTTCTTGAGTTCCAAAGTCATCCTGCAGACTACCACCTAATGCTGCCTAGCTAGATTTCTGATACTACCTTGCAGTCTCCAATCTTTGTCATGGTCCTTCATGGTCTGTTTGCTGTTTTGGGTTTATGCTGGGTTGGGCAGATCTTGGTAGGACCAGATCCAGGGTTCACTCTCCACCAGATTTTATGCCTCCTTTAACTGGTAATCTGGCTCCTCCGTGTCTCCTGTGGTGACACAAGCTTTCAAGTGTAACACCTTCATTGCCATGTGTCCCATTTGTCCCCTGCCTTAAGAGCAGCTCCACCTCCAGTGTCCCCTAACTGTCTCTGTCAAACTGGTCTTCTCCTCCTGAAATCCTTGATCAAGAAACTCTCAATTTCAACTCACCTGCCTCTTCACCTTCCTACGACTCTGTCCCCCTGCAAGTATCTCTTCCAGACCAACCAAGTAGGCAGTCAAATTCACTCTAAACAACACTCTCTGGAGCTATTCTGTGGATTATCCAAGGCTAACTCTCTCAGTGACTCAGTGACAGGTCCTCCTACCTGCTTTGTTTTGTCAGGAATCCGTGTGTTTACCTCTCCTTTCAACTTCTCACTTACTTTAACTCAATAAACCTGTTGAACTTTAGACTTGTCAGTGTTGGGTCCTGTTTTGCAGCCTTGTTAGCTGTATTGCCAATTTAGCATATGACGCCTTCTACAAAAATCAACCTCTGTGCACCTTTCTCCACTCTTATACGTCACCTTTTGTTTTGTTTTTTCTTAAAGCATGTGATCACCACTACTACCTGCTCTTCTGCAATTCCTTACATCATACTTTCCCAACACCTCATCAGCTCTCTACTCTTCACATACATTTCTACTGAGGTCTAATCACTACTGTCTCATCTCTGGGATACTCTCTACAGGTTGTTGAATATATTCTAAAATTTCAATGATAACATTCAACGTCACTCCTTCGATCTAGTTTCAAACTCATGATAGTGTCTGACACTCTTGACCTCCACAACACCACTTGTGGGCTGACAAGACAGCTGAACTTTTTGAAAAGTTTGTGTCCCGTTACTTCTGGCATGAGAGTAAAACAGGAAGCCATAAAAAGACCAACAGTCAAACGTGGTGGTAGTAGAGTGAGGATCTGAATGACTTTCTGTAATTGATGGAATCTTGATTTCTGCTCTGTACCTAAAATTCTGAAGGAGAATTTCCTGTCCTGAAGCTTAGCACACTCGGATTATGTATCAATAATTTGATTTGGTTTGAAACACATTAGCATAACACATCAGTCCACCTCTGAATGGTTTAGAAACACAAAATGAAGGTCCTGAATTCTATTGTTGCATAGAACTTCTGAGCCCAGGTGCAGAATCGGATGCCCTCATGGTGGAGGGTTGCCTTGATGACCATGATATTGACAGAGGGGGTAGCCTCTTGGATGACATGGATGAAGCGCTGGCCTCAGAGAGTGGCTTGCTGCTAGAGGCAGGACCCAGCGATCTCTGTGACATGCACGACCCTGACCTAGATGAGTCCAACCGAGCCATCAGGTACTCGCATAACAATTACACACAAAGAAAAATATATAGTACTGAGATGTTTCTGAGGCTGGGTTTTTTTTCGTGCCCCTTAAAGCCCCTCCACCAGCAACAACATTCCTTTGATGCGAGTCGTCCAGTCTGTCAAACACACAAAGAGGAAGAGCAGCAATGTGATGAAAGAGGGCTGGATGGTCCACTACACCAGCAAGGACACTCTGGTACATCTTTCTTTTTATGTTTAACAGTCTATTTACCTCACCAAATTCGTGTTGTGGATGTTGTCTTACATGAAGCAAACAGCTAGCGCCCTCAGGGTTTTTTGTTTGTTTTGTTTTTGTTCTGTTCACTGGTTCGGAAGTTATCAGGCTTTGCCTCAGTCTTAGCTTTGTCATCTACTCCTTTAATTTCACCGATTCCTCTGTCTTTGTGACATGAAACAGTGGCTTCTCAGTCTAATGATTAGTCAATCAGCACCCTGGGGAGAATTCGTGTAATTGTTAAATTTTTCCCAATTATTTAAACACTGTACACTTTAGAATTATAATTTAATTCATAATTAAATTATAAAAAAAGACCTGAACCATGTGGAAAAACACAGTTTATTCTCATTACATTTCAAGAACAAGCAAAGAATCCAGTTGTGATGCTGTTTCTGAAGTCTTTGAGTGAAGGATAAGAGGACTCAGAAACAGGACAGAACGCATTGCAGATATTTCACTATTTGTAATCAAAGTGCTGCTTCCAACTTTGTTTGACACATTATTATAAATATACACTTTGAATCGTACAAAGATTGTCTTAAGTGTTTGTGCTTCTTCCTATTTAAATAACGGAGATGGTAGGAAATATCGAAGAAACAAATAGTGAGAAATAATAAATGTTAAACTCATTCCTAATAGAAGCAAGAGTTATTTCTGAGAAAACTGCCACTTGTGGTTTGAGGATGTGTTGCTGTTCTGAAATTCTTCAGCTGCGTGAGTGTTAAAAACAAGTTGAGAGGCATTTACAGGTTGTCATTGTTTGTCTGCTTCATACTTATTTGCTCTCTTTTCTTTCCTCAGTTGTTTTGCTCTTTAATGTCACTCTTTTTTCTTTGTGGTATTCCCTTATTTTTCTTCCTCTTCTCTCTTGCAATGTTTCAGAGGAAAAGACATTACTGGAGGCTAGACAGTAAATGCATTACGCTGTTTCAGAACGACACAGGAAGTAAATATTACAAGGTAAGACCACTACCTTCCAGCAGTTTATTTGTTGCTGCAAAGTCATCACTGCAGGTGTGCCTGTCTTTTAAAGACTAACTGCTAAGTTTCAATGTAAATTACTTGCAACACAGCACACCCCTAAACTACAGATTCAGGAGGTACATCATGTATGGTGTACTGGTGCTGATACTGTAAACTGTATTCCACCCAGACCCCTTTACTTCATCCTCTCTGCAGGAAATCCCTCTGTCTGAAATCTTGTCTCTGGAGCCTGCTCAGAATTTTTCTCTGCTTCCTGATGGAGCCAATCCTCATTGCTTTGAGATCGCCACGGCATCACTGGTTTATTATGTTGGAGAGAACCTGCAGAGACCTGAATCATCTGTGACAGGCAGCAGCATTCTGGTGAGATGCAGATTTAATCTGATATGATGCAAGATAGGTTCTCTAAGATCATAATTAGATTTGATATTTTTGATAGATTTGATATCATCCTTAATGTGCTTGCATGATATCATGCAAGCACTTTAAGGAGAAATGTTTTTCAACAAAGTCTTAAATCGGATATGTCAGAGCTGGCAAAATCAAGACATTTGTCACATTTGTTTTTCATAATTTTGAAAAACTCACATTTACATGAAAGATTTAAATTCACAGTTGATCAAATGTCACTGAGTACTCCTTACTAAAATCTCTTTTTCTCCAACCCTGTTCTTTCTTACATCTTTCTTCATTCAGTTCAGTTCAGTTCAAATGTGATGATTATTTGCAGCTTGCAGGTTGTAGCCATCAGTAATAGTAATAAATCACACAGCAATAGTACATCGAAGATACTGAAGTGGGACATAACTACCATAGCTATGGTAGCTACCATAACTCAAACAAGGTAGTTGCAGTAGGCTAATGTTAGTTTTTAAATAAAGAACTTACTTCCAGATGTTTCTTTAGGTTGGAGTCTTTTGATGCTGAGAGCAGCTTGGTTGCTGGCAAACAAAGTTTGCATTGCACGGTCAGATTTTGCCCATCCCATTCTTCTCATGAAGTGGTGTCAGAATTTCCAAGTAAGAAATGCCTTCCTGCCCGTTCACTGCTGGCTCAGTTGTGCTGGCTCTGGGTTCATTGTGTAGCTGACACCACCAACATTAACTGGACGCTCACATTAGAGCCTCTTATTGTGTGCTTTGTTTGGGTTTCCGGCAATGTGTGGAATTACCAAAATTAGAGAGGGGATAGCATAACATATGAAACAGGAAAAGATTGCCGTGTAATCCGTTTATTTCAACAAAGTAACTGTATTCTAATTATCACCTATTTAAGCAGTAACTGTAACAGAATACAGTTGCTCATATTTTGTATTTTAAATACGTAACGCCGGTACATGTATTCTGTTACTCCCCAACACTGGTGACATGAAATAATAACACCCCTCAAATGCAATCATGTTAAGAAAGATATTTGAGAGATATTGGTGTAAAGATTAAGGGGGTGAAAGTTAAAAAAATGTCAGCTATAAAAATATTAAACTAAAAGACAGAAATCGAAAAAGTGACGTTTCCCCTCTGTGGTACATGGATTACAGTCTTCTTCTACCATTCCTACTTAGTTATTTCTGCAATGAGAAATACTTTCAAGTTAAAATTTTACATAACTTACTTTAAAAAAAATCAGAAACTACTAATATTTTTAAAGTTTGTTTAAAGTGATGAAGTGCGATTTTAAAAATCTTTTCAGATAAAGTTAGATCAAAGTACAGTACTAATAATTCCTATATGTCTCATTCAGGATTCAGACTGCTCTAAAGACTTGTTTTTTAAACTCTTTGCATTTGTGAATTTATGTTTTTTCTGATAGGAACTAAATAACTAAATATTTAAAATAAATATATAAAAACAAAAGACAAAATAAAAGCATGAATTCTCCATTCAATTAGCCATGAGGGCTCCCCCTGTCTTCCTCTGTGGCCGAGTACAAGCCCCTTAACCCCAGAAATGGGCCCACTGAAGGTTGCCAGGGATTGGCAGATGCAAGTGGACTTGGATCCCACAGAGATCGTAGCACCTACTCTGTGACCAGACCTCGTCCTTTGGTCTAACTCCCAAAAACTTGCGTATGTCATTGAGCTGACGGTACCATGGGAGGAAGCAATTGAGGAAACATTTGTGCGTAAGATGCTGTGGTATGCCAACTTGGCAGCTGAGGCAGAGGACAGAGGCTGGAAGATCAAGGTGTGCCCGGTGGAAGTGGGATGCAGGGGCTTTGTTGCCAGTCCAACAGCAAAACTGCTTAGAGAGATTGGGATCAGAGGACAGGCGCAATGGCAGGCTATAAGAGAATTGGCTAACACTGCTGAGAGGACCAGTCACTGGCTATGGCTAAAAAGTAGGGGTGGGTTTTAATAATCGATTCAATTCAATTCCAGAATCTCAGGTGAAACGTCACAAAATTTTGACAACCACCAAACAGCTAAAACAGTAAATGAGAGCAGGTACACGGCTTCTGCACAAAGACGTAAACACAAAGTGCGGACCCGCGGATCAGAATCAGTGAGATGTGACTTTCTCATCCGACGGCACGGACACGGTCGGGGCTGAAAGCCAACAGCTCGCTGATTCTGATGTTTCGGCGGGTCCACGCTTTGTGTTCGCGCCCTTTTTGCGCTGATTCTAAAGCTGTTAGTTTTATCTCTCTCCAAACAATATTGACCAAACCAGCAGCAAAAGAAGATCCAAACTACGCTTCACATAAACATCATCATGAATTCACTCTTACTTTTGCTGTTTTGCTTCCATCACAATAAAATCACACTTCATGCACAGCTCTCGCTCTCTCTCAGTGTACTTCAAGAACAGTTTCCCGTCTATCCCCGAAATCTGTTTTCTGCATTATTCGCTTGCTTGTTACGCACAACACTACCGTTATTTACAGCGCTGTCGACTGATGTTTTTTTTCCCTTTTACTTACTTCCGAAAAGAAAACCTAATTTCCGCCGTTCAATAGGCTTCTGAACTTTTTAAAATTATGCAAAATGCAAAACGCTCAGCTGTGTCTGTAATAAAACCGCTGTAACTTCAGAGGTAATGTTCATGTGCTGGTTAATGGTTTTCTTTGGTTTTTGATGTACTGTGGAATATTTTTATAAAATCCCAGGCCAGGAAAATCACCTTCATGCTTTTCTGTGTTTTATCTTCAGCTACTTTGACACAAAAGCATCTGCTGTCATGCTCACACCTTTGATAAAGTCTCGAAAGTGTCAGCTTCCTTTTTATAGATACAAAAATATGTAAATGTACTGATCTGAATTATAATATTTCTGACTGTCTGAGGCAAAATTTCCCAGATTCAAATCCAATTGAATCGAATCGTGGATCGAATCGATTCAGGACCTTGTGAATCGGAATCGAATCGATTCTAGAAATCAGTGACGATACCCAGCCCTACTAAAAAGGGCTGCCTTGGGTAGCTAAGGCAGTCAGCTAACCGCGAGACACAAGCCCAGGATTTATCAACCCGTGGTGTGCCTACCTCAACAGGGGGCGTCAAAAGGGTAAAATATAACATTAGAAATTTTGCTGGTTGACTGATACAGCTGTCTCAGGGCCTCCTGGGGACTGTGCAGTTAACCTCATGGTAGTGAAACCAAAAGGAGGAATGAAAGAAAAGAAAAATATTCTGCTCTTCTCCCCTCTGCTCTTCCTCCCAGTGGGGAGGTAAAGCGTACAGCCCGATCTGGCAGGGAGGTGTGGGAAGCCAGATTGGGCGCCCCCCCTTCCGGCTATCCTCTCTGCTCTCTCCTATCTTGTCCCTTTTTGTCTTACTTCTCTCTATCACCTTTTCTATCCCTTTGAAGAAGTGAGGCTCCATAAATGTTAAAGAGGTAAGTATTATTTCTCAGTTTCAGTGATGAGATAGAAGAAAATAAACTGTAGAAAACTAAACAGAAGAAGAAAAATAACAAAAACCAGTGACACACTGGCAGGGCCTTCTTAGATGAGGGTGCCTAGTGATAAGGGCCGAAACACCCGATGAATCTAAGGTCCACTATAAGATCCCTAATCCCTAAACCTAACCAAGGAAGAAAAAAATGGCAGATTAGCCTGGGTAAAAGACTGAAAGCTCAGGCACACAACGCTGTATGCCGCTGATAAAGTTTCTGAGCTGCCTTTCCTCATAACAGCCAAGATTTTCTCCATTTGAAGCAATGTATTATCAGGGATTGTAACATCTAGTCCTTTTACTGAATCAAATTGTGAGTACCAGAATTGTGATTTCAGGTCAGCGGTGTTGGGCAGGATGTGGCTCGAATGTGGGAAATGGCCATCCAGCATGCTCTGATGCCAGCGGTTTCTACAGGAATTTGCCACAGTTCCCACCGCAGTGGACACAGTACGTTGTTGTAATATTATTGGCCTGTTAATATTACATGTATAAGTTAGCATTTTTTGAAGATTTTTTCTTTCTATCTTTTTAACAAAAAGCTTAAAGGGAGTTCAAATAAAAATGTGCTTGCATAGCTGTTACAACCACTTGATTTCAACAAATTAAGTGATGAACTAGTAGCAGACAATCTCAGCCACTCATTGAAAAAATGAGTTGAAGTCTCAAAGCTGTATACATGTACAGGGTCACACCTATCTCAACCACATTAAAGTATTTCCAGCACAGTTTTCACTTTGTCTCCAGCCAGAGACTATTTGGAACAGATAAATCACAAATTCAATGTATGATTTCTTTCAACTCAAGTATTTGTATCCATGTTGCTACTGAATTCTCCCAGAGAGTCTCAGATCCATTCAGGGCCAACAACACCCACACAAAACCCATCAGAGATATTTCAGGCATTTCACTGACGTCAAACCATCATGACTAACACTTCAGTGTGGTCGTAGTACCTTTTATGATTAAAGAAATGTGTCTCAACTAGCAGATTGCTAACTGGTTCACATTTATCACATATTTATTTCTAATGCACACCAGAAGTGTGGCTTAGAGTAAACAAGTTAATATCCTTTTACAGATGCCCTGTTTTTATTGTTTTTGCTTCACAGAGAGATGTGCATCCGCTGAAATCTGTCCTTCTGATGTTGATGAAAAAAAATCTCATTTCAACTGAAAGACTGTGTTTCACAATGTATATTATCTCAGATGCTTTTTTAATCATACAAAATCACAACAACAGTCAACTTCACATTGATAGGTAAAGACCTCAGAATAACAGGAGGATGCTAATTCACTGTTTTTTGTCATCCTGTTTTTTTTTATTCTAATCTTACTTGTGTCTCTCATTAACAGAGGAGATTTCAATCAGTATTTCAGTTTCCAACTGCCAGATCCAGGAGAATGTGGTAAGAGAAAAAATACAAATACACACACACACACACACACACATTTTTGGATTGCTTTTGCATAAAGTCTGTGGCTCCATAATGTAGTGGATAACATATTTGCTTGTTAAGCCAAAGCTTTGTGGTTTGAGTCCAGCTGGAAAGCCAGATCAGGAAGTAAGGCCATCCATTGCAGTGATGACCCCTTGTAACAAGGGTGTAGCTTAAGGAAGCTTCTTCTTCGTGTACCATATTACAAGGTTTAATTCTCTTGTAAAGTGTTTTCTGGCATTTGAGGACAAAATGAAATCGCTATGCGAATAAAAACTGTTCAGTGGAATTTCTTAAAATTTGGTTCACACATTCATGCACCCATGACATCGACGACATCAGAATACCAAGAGCCTCTAAAACTACTGACATGGCCGTCTATCTCCATGTCACCCGCTGGTTAGTAAAGTCCTTATGTTATATCATGAAGCCTTGTGCTGAGCATTTTCACCTTTGCTGTCTTGGTGTTTTGAGACTTGAGGGTAATGACTTTTCTCTGACAATTTCTTAACCAATGAGGATTCCTTAACTAATCTCAAACTAGCCTATAAAACCATCAGGAAAGTGATGTCACAAAGTAAGGGAGCCAACCAATTTTTATTTGAGATCAAAGTAATAAAGCTGAGAAACACTGAATTGCAGAATGTCACTGGCAAATAAATTTCCTTGCAGATACCTGCTCTGTAAATAAGAGTTAAAGAAAGTGACAGTGTTCTTTCAAGATCTACAAGTTCACAGGGCAAACAACGCATGTCACAATCTTCATCAGGCAAGAGTGCATGTTGTGTTTTTCTCTCATTTTAAATGAGACACTGACTTGCTTTGACTGAACATTTGAGATTTTCGGGTAGACATTTTTGCACCACGGTTTCACCCGACCTTCCACTAACGGTCAGTCAGTTAAGTCATGTGGTAGGATGTGTCCCCCTAGACATGATGATATTGGACAGCTAATGTTTTACATGGATGACCCAAACCTGGATTTGATGTTACATCAGCACCATGCTTTCATTCATGCTTTGTTTCCTGGCACTCCAACTGACACTGCACTCAAACCAGCATCAGGACATGTTGTTTGTATACCCACACTTATAAACAGAGTCCCCATCTTCAACCTCTGACAGACAACACAACATCCTGTTCATACTGAAATCACCTCCATCCAGTTCTTTTTTTCCCTGCTTTCTGTCACTTTCTTCTTAATTTGCATTTGAAGACTTCTGGGTCATGTTGCAGAGATTCCCAGAGCGTGTCACTATGCTTGAAACACTACATTTACATCAAAAAGATTTACATCAGGCTCCAATATCTGCAAATTCTATTCATTTTTCTATTCATTGCATTGCATATAAATGCAACTGCAGAGAACATCAAGTCCCATTTCTATGCAGACGTGCACCTCGCCGTCTCCAAGGTGAGCACGTCTTCAAACACCTCAAATGGAGATTACTGTGATTACTCACTCAGCCAAACGGTTTCCATGGTGACGATGGTAATTACGCAGTGAGCTCGGGGAAGGGGGAGGAAGTTTATAATATTGTATTTCTGTTCTCTTTGCTTGAGGTGTGATATTAGGCTGTCAGCTAACAGGGGAGAAAAAGGAGACGTAATTACAGACAAATGAAGGAGAAAATATTTTGCAGCTTTGGTGTCAAAGCTGTGGAGGATCACTGACGTTGTGTAGTTACACTGAGAGAGGTGCACAGTAGGCTTTCTCTACCAAAAAAATAATTCCGGAAATCTTCTCTGCCAGGTGATGAATTGATGCATTCACTTTTTTTAGTTGAACCCACTTTCTGTGAGCCTCCCTTGCTTTCCTTCATTGCAGTTTTCCATTCAAGGAACTTAACCATGACCTGAAACTTTAATTACAGAAACTTGCTGTTTCAGGCTATTTTAAACCCGAGAAAGGTATGCTTTATGGCCCAGAGTGCATAAGAATGTTTTACAACTTGTTGTCATAGACTTTATATTAAAAAGGACCTACGGTGTCTCCTGTGTGTGAAAATGTAAGTCAAGTCAAGTTAATGTTTATTTCTGTAGCACATGTAAAACAAAAAACTTAATAGAGCAAAGTACTATACAAGCTATACAAATGATGACTAAATTAGCAACAAATATGTGCTAAAATACACAGTCTCAGTAAGACATAATCAAAACAACAAACAGGGTTTACACAGTAAAAGCTATGATATACAGCTCAGCTAGAGCTGAAAGCCAGAGAGAATACGTAGGTTTTTAACCGCATTTTACAAATCACAGGGTGACTGGGTTAGCTCTTACGTGCAATGGTAGGTGGTTCCAAAGATTAGAGGCTGACACCAAAAACGCTCTGTCACCTCTATTTAAGCCTGGCTCAGAGAACATCCAACTTAGTTGGTCTGTAGACCTAAGTGCTGTGGTGTAGGGCTATAAATGTTTAGTTAAGTTGGGTGGGACCAGTTCATTGAGACTGAGACATTGTTTCTTTCCCAGTAGGTGGGGGGGAAACTTCTCAATTTTAAAATTAGTTGTATTGGCACTTAATTTGATCTATGACTTCAGGAAACAACGAGGAGAATGAGGTTATGGTCTCAATCAGTAGTTTCAAGATTTTTATTTTTTATCATCTTTTTATTATTAGTCTTTTGTAGGTTGTGGTCCCCGTTATAGTCAAACAGAATCCCAAAGAAGTTCATGCCTCAGGATGGACCTATTCTGTATTCCAATTGGTAAATTGGTAAAAAAAACTTGTGATGTTAACACCAGAGCACCTCAGTAAAAGCACCAATGGGTGACGTCATAGCGGACGGTGTTTGCTCTGCTAACTTGACTAAAGGATTTTTTTTTTAGTTTCCATCTTCTCATTTTGGATCTGCATATGTTATGCTTGGTTTCAAAACATCTGCCATCGCCCAACAAGCATTTCCTAATGTGTCCATTTGTAAAAAGACTAAGGACAAAACATTAAACTTCAGTTCCATCCTCAGGGTGGCATGCCCCTGCAACCAGCTCTTTTATCTCCATGGGCTGATAGATTTGGACACCCTGAACTTCAGCCTCTCACTGCATCCATTATCCTTTGGCAGGGGGTTTAGGCTTCGCTACACTGGTCTCAGTCATTTATTTCACTTTCATTTGACCCTTTTCTTGGACCCCATCTGATGATTTATGAATTGCTACTCAGGCTGTGTTTTGTGTTTTCCAGGACATCAACTCAGTGTATCAAATCTTCCCAGACGAGGTTCTTGGCTCAGGACAGTTTGGCATTGTGTATGGAGGTAAAACCTGAATTTGAGACACGCTGTCATTGCACCAAATGCATAATGTTTTCTTTTTCAGCACAAAAAAAAGAATCTTTTATTTCCAATACATGCAAATGTATTTTTTAAATTTCTGTGATTTTATTCTCCTGTGGAACGCATTCTTCATCTATGAGACTCTGCACAGCTAAAGACACAGGAAATATTACTTGGTTTTAACTTAGAGAGAGAGAGACAAAAATCAGTTGGGCAACATGAAACTTAATCACAATTCATTTTTGTTGTTTGTCATTAATAAGTAAGAAAAGAAATTACATCCCTATTTTCACGAAAGCGAGGAAATGTAAATAGAAATAATAATTTCAAAACCATGTTCATTTTACGTAGCTGTTTCAAGTTACGTAGTTGAAACAGTGAAAAATATCAGCACATTTTTAAATTGATGCCAGCAACACATTTCAGAAAAAGGTTTTGTAAAACGTGCCACAAAGAGCCCGATTCATTAAGATGAAATGTAACCTCTTTGAAACACAGTGCAGGGAAAAAGTTCAGTGATTTTGTTTGTCGACATAAAATTGCAAAAAAATTGGAAATTTCATCTGTAGTGCCCGATGTTTAAAAAGTTCAATAATCCTGAGAAATATCTTTAAGCATGGGATAAGACCAGGGAGTAATTGTGACCGCCAGGTCCACATGCAACAAAAAGACACGATTCTGTAGTAGAAATCACTGCACCAGCTTCACTTACTACAGTTATTTAATTCTGCTCTCTTCTTCCAATCCAGTATCACAGAAAAATTATACGCACACACACAAGCTCAAAACTCCTTAGCTGAGGCTTGGCTGTCGTTGTGTTTGCCAACACCATACCCATATCACAGATATGTGGTTAGATTTTGAGGATACTAAAAGTAAGACCATAAGGATGTAGAACTTTCTGTATTCACAGTGGTGCTTAAACACATATGTTAATAATGATTATGTTGGTAAAGAAAAGCTCCCATTAAAAGGGGATCCTGGAGGACATAAGGTAAGATAAACTTTGGAAACATTCTTCAGATGTCAAAGTTTATCTAAGCAACGCTTCAGAAATCGAGAATATTGAAGAATATTACATTTACCGGTACAGTGTTTAAACCCATGAAAACCAATTCTCACATTCAGGTTCTTCAACTTGTTGCTTTGATTACATTCTGGAACAGCTGAGTGTGCTTGTGACTCAGATTGGGGTTTTATTCCACGCAGGTAAGCACAGGAAGTCCGGCCGAGACGTTGCCATCAAAATCATCGACAAACTCCGCTTCCCCACCAAACAGGAGAGTCAGCTGCGCAATGAGGTGGCCATCCTGCAGGTAAACACACACACACACACACACACACACATCCATGCTGCTCAGGATACTGTTGGCAGGGAGTAAAAGTTCCTGTTGTGAACGACTTCATTACCGTGGCAACACTGTAGGGGTGTGACATCTGAAAATATTCCTGCTCTGCCGCCGCTGCTGCTACACACACCTGCACATAAAACACACTTGAGTTCACCTCAGCTGATATCTGTTCTGCTTGGCTGCTCAGCAGACTGGAGCTGTTTGGGAAATGGCTTTCTGCTACCTTTGGGGTCCATATCAGCTTTTTTGGCATTTTATTTGAATGATTGTTGTAGCCGTTAGGGAAATGGGTGAGGATGCTTTCGGATCTTTGAATCTTTAATCATTAATATCGTTTCTATAAGAGGCAAAGTACAGTGGATACAATTTTACATTCTTCATATTAGAGAGAGAGTTGTGGTCAGTGTACACTGGCACATTTACTTAAGCTTATTGTATAAAGTCATATCATGTTCACCCAAAACAGATTTATCCTCGCTGAAGTGACATAAAGTAATGTCTATGAGCTTGGAACAACCAGAGCTCTTCACAGATTGGCTGGATGGGATCGTTGAACCAAACAAGCACGCTCATTTATACAACTGCAGCGTCTACATAAACCACCCACACATATTACAGTATGACAGTGTTTTTTTCAAAATATAAGCCGTGGCATTCCTTTATATAAACACTCTAAGAACTGCGTGTTTCATGCCTTTCACTTAGCCAAGTCATGCCAGCACTGCTTAAGTTCAACATCCTGGCGCTATACCCATCCTGCTCTCTCTTCTTCGTCTTATGAGCATCATGTTTTTGCTTTGGTTTGCTAAATATAAATTATAATGTGAGCCAGGACAGGAAGTACAAGTAAAGAAGTAATATATTTGCCACCGTACCTCCCAGGGAGAGAAGCAGGCGCACTTGTTCTTGATCAAATACATCTATGATAACACGATATTATGCTCTCTGTTTCCCAAAAATGACAACATAAAAGCCATAATAATTTAAATATTAGTTTATTGAAAGTGAAAATAGCAAAAACAGCGCTATCCATCCTCCGAGGCCATTAAAAATACTCGCAAGTGCCATCGTGATTGTTAATATTCCATATCAGTGGCTTATTGCAATCCAGTCAGTGCATTCAAAGCAATGGTGGGAAACCTTGCATCTGTGGGATTAGGGACTTCGACATGTATTTCCCACGTTTGAAGCACGCTGTCCCTGTTTCGCAGTCATCTATTGCAGAGCAGAAGTTGCATCTCTTTCCCTTCTGTCTCCTTGTGTTGGCTTCTTGTGTGACGTGTTGATCAGGGCCAGGCTCAGATTGCTGTGCTGCCATTGCCACTGCTGCTAAAGCTCCCACGCAGGGAAGATGGTGTCATTTTTGCATGCAAAGAGTCATGAGGGCCTTTGACATAAACGTTTCCTTTGCTGCCTCAGAGCTATCTTCATCGTTCATCTTGGAAGATTAGGTGAAGCGTTTTTTGAACAGAAAATCTTGATGTTATAACTTTCCCACTCTTAAATTCACAGCTCAGATGAATTTATTTTATACTAATATTTACTTATATGTAAAACCCCTCATTAGATCTCTGTTTTAATCTCAGATTAGGATAAAAGACTGTAACGTGTTAGATTATTTTGTTACATATTGTGTTTGTGTCATGGCAGTCTCTGACGTCTGACTTCTGTTCCTCATGTGCATCATATGTGATCAGTCCTGTGCTGTTTTACTATTTCACTGTTTTGAGACTCTCCCATAACACTTCAAAGACCTTTAGGTGCCTGTCATTGGAACCTAGACACATGCAGTGAAAACACAGACAGTTCTTGTGACAGTGTCAGGGTAACTCTTGAACTCTGTTATCACTGTCCCTTAAAAATGTTACAAAGACATGGCATGTACAGTTTTCAGAGTTTCAAGAATCCTCAAACTCGTTGATTTTTGTTCAGTCAAACTGAAACAGCCTCAGTGTACAAATATTTTTACCACCTTTAAAACTGTATAAAATGTTTCATTAATATCATATTTGAACTTTAAACCATCAAATTTCAGAATAAAAGAAATACACCTAGTTCTTCTGGTGTCAAAAAACAAAACAGGTCCAATTTGTCCCAAAAAGCATGCAAGGGTTAAAATGAAGAAGAAGGTGCTTGTGTTGTTAAATTTAGATGTGGACATAACTCTATTCACAATTCATCTTAATCTGTATTCCAGTTTAATTAACACTAGCATCCCCAGGCTTCTACCTTAAACCATCACTGCATACAAATAACATAAATGCTAAAAAGTATGCAATTCATAGTAAATACTTAGGATTAAAGCATTTTTATTACCAAATATGGTAGGTTCACCTGAAGAAATCCAATTTAAAAAATCTTTAACTGAATCTCCCACCCAGGAGATTGTAAACTGTTCTTAAACTGTCTAAACTGATCTCTCTTGTCCTTTCAGAGCCTGCATCATCCAGGGGTGGTCAACCTGGACTGTATGTTTGAGACACCAGAGCGAGTGTTTGTGGTCATGGAGAAGCTTCATGGAGACATGTTGGAGATGATCCTGTCCAGTGAGAAAGGCCGACTTCCTGAGAGGATCACAAAGTTCCTGGTGACACAGGTGATACTTTGCCTCAATTATAACATCACCCTGTCTGACCCTAACTGTACAAACAAAGTCACAAAGGTTTGGGTCCATAAATTTTGCCTTTGTTAAGAAAAATCCAGTGACAACATCCAGGACAAATGGTAAATGGATTGATTCTTATATAGCGCCTTTCTACTCTCCCGGAGTACTCAAAGCACTCTGTACAATGCCTTCGATGCTTGTTCCCTCCTGGGAACACGGCGGGTCTGAGCCCGCGCTGGAATGGTAGCGCTGGGCAGGATGGCTGCTGTGTTTGCTTCGGATTACTCCTCACCCCCCCACCCAACCCTGTGGCTTGTCACGTGTTCCATAATGTTATGCTGTGGACATTTATGTAACGCTACCGATCTCCGACCTGTATCTCCATGTGATGTCTGTGTTGTGTGTGTAAGGTGGGGGGGGGGGGGGGGGGAATCCTATTTCACTGCACGTGGCGAATAAAGCCTTGATTGATTGATTGATTGACCCAATCACACCCATTCTCACCAGCACTTTCTCTGAACTTAGTGCTTTCTCAGTACATTTACACACATTCATACTCCGATAGATGCATCGGAGAGCAACTTGAGGTTAGTATCTTGCACAAGGATACTTGATATGCAGATTGGAGGAGCCAAGGATCGAACCACCAACCTTCCGATCAGTAGGTGACCTGCTCTACCTCCTGAGCTGAGAGTGTTTAATAATCATGTTACTGCTGATAGGAATTACTGGAAAAATTCTGATTGTATAGGTCTATAATCTCTGCTCACATTCAGCCAAATGATGCAACACTGATCAGACACTTCACTGTGCACATGAACAATGGGTAAGAAAATGAATAGAACATAACTGAAGGCAGAGACTCGCAAACCAGCAGTAACTAAAGATGGATTCAGTAAAGGCCTGGCAGAGCATCTCAAAGGGAGGTTGTAAAGTTCAGACAGTAAGTGAGTCTCATTTGTGTTATGTTGCATTGTGCTTTTGTCAGTTATGTTTGTACTTTTGACTGGGGACTAAAATTGAAATTAAAACTGAATTGAATTGAATTACGGCCTGATCATAGTATTTTAGTGTTCCCCTTGCATAGATTTACTGCCTGACCGGTGCCATTAGCATTGAGTGTTTGACAAGAGGTCCAACATCATTGTAGCAAATGCAATCTGTGTTTTTCTGTCTCACTGTCAGATCTTGGTGGCGTTGCGTCATCTCCACTTCAAGAACATTGTCCACTGTGATCTGAAACCTGAAAATGTCCTGCTGGCTTCTGCAGACTCTTTCCCCCAGGTAGTATGTTTATGTGTTTATTTGTTACGCTTGGACAGTACCTGTTTTTCAAATGGAGATGTGTATCCACCTTAAGTGGAGGAGTTTAAGTATCTCGGGGTCTTGTTCACGAGTGAGGGAAATGGGAGATCAGCAGACAGATTGGGGCTGCGGCTGCAGTGATGTGGGTGTTGTACCAGTGCATCGTGGTGAAGGGAGAGCTGAGAGTATAAGCTCTGGATTTACCCGTTGATCTACGTTCTCACCCTCAACTATGCACACGAACTCTGGGTAATGACCAGAACAACAAGATCATGGAACTTGCTGAAGCCAGTTGGGAAAGCAAGGCACAAAGCGTATCTTTCAGGCATTGTATGGTGGACTGAAATGGAGTATTACTATCTTAATGTTTTAAACATTAAACCCAATATCCTCATCAGCACTCACTGTTTTTCTCAATTCAGCTGCTGGCGTGTTGCTGCAGGTGCTCTATCATGATTCAGCCTTGGTTCTGCATATTATTCATGACAATATGTAATAGTAACAGAACTGCTCTGTCAAGTAGATGTTTTTGCTAAGGCTGAAGATGATATTTGTGAGACTGTTAAATAGATGTTGTGTTTCCACCCAGGTCCTGCACCGTTTAGATAATATTGACTACCTTTATTCAGGCTTATGCAAATAATCTGTTAAAGGTTTCAAATTCTCAGTTATTAATATCTTGTAACTTTTAGTATAGCTGTTTAAAAGTTATGTCAGAATTCTTCTAATTTCTAATTTTATCTGAATTATCTACAGAAAAATTTGCATGTCTTGACAACACTGGCAAACAACAGTAGTAAAAAAAATGATGTGTGTTGAGTTCCGAGCTGCAGAAAGAGTGAAGTTATGCAGTGATAGAAACAGAAAATACAAAACACGCACACGTATTAGTATTTGTGGATGCAAGCAATAAAAGTTGGACATAGACACTCCATTAGCTGTCAGTGTAACTATTAGCAGCTTCCTTCAGTGTTCGGTCTTTAGAAATAGCTGTTAGTGTCAGACAGACTAACTGTTAACTCTAGTGATGCATCATTTAGCTGTTTGGCTCATAATTCCTCACATGATACTTAGTGTGTATCATCTGCACAGCCTGTTCCTCTGAAATATCATGAAACAAACAAAATGCAAATATCTGGCTCCATTTGGAAGAGATGTGTTAACGTTCGCGTGTCAGCCGGTTGCCATAAACAAGTGAAATCAATAATTTTAAAGAATAATATGACATTTATCAAAATCCTCTTTTTTATCTTTCTCAGAATCAGTTGAGGTAATTGGCATCAGATTTATGTCTGTGTTAGTAAAGAGAAAGTATGTAAACTAGTTTGATACGACTGGGAGAAAGAGAGATGTTGTTGGCATAGCTGAATAAAACTGTCAGTTACAGTTCTGTTTAGTCTATATAACTAATGTACACAGTTAGTTTGTGCTACAGGTAGCTAGAAAGCTAACAATATATTTAGCATATGTTAAGAAAGGAATATTAAGTAGGTCAAAAAGTTTGAACTCAGGTTTGATATTTTGAAATCATATAGAGAGAAACCACATTCCTAGCCTGACAATGGAAAAATACTCACTCAGCTTTATTGTCATGACACAACATTTATGTGACAAATGAATACTATAGGAACTTCTCTGGTTCTACACTATAAAAGTGCAAGTCAGCAAATGTCAAAATGAAAGATTTACGTGTCTATGTAGCGCTTACCTTTACTTGAACGCTGAACAATTTCTTGTTCCACATGGCGGCATAATTTACCTATCCAGAAAAATACACAAAGAATATTTAAAAACGCATGTAATTGTCTGTACTTTGAAATAAAGTTGCTTTTGGGGGGGGGGGTTCTCTGTATATTATTGTTTTTCCTCCACGGATAGATGATCCAAGATCTCCCAAAACATTTTTGTCCAGTTTTGTCTGTCATAATGGAGTAAATTTTTGTCAGCTAGAGAATAATAGTCAATTCAGTCAATAATGTGACTGAAAACTATGAACATATGATATTTCTTTTTTGGTGGGAAGTACTATAAGGTCATAAAACACGGTAAAATCACATTATTTATAGTTTGAAAAGCTCTAAAAATGAGGTAAACTACTACTAGAAGATCTGCTAGATCACTGTGGCTCTGTGACTACTGAGCTCTACTATGCTAAAAGTTATAAGTTAAGTTTTAATGTGTTATATTTAATATAGAAATAAATTAAAAACACAAGTATGACTTAGTTGATGCATCTGATGTATGCCTAAAAATAATTTGCATCACTTGAGATGGTTTCAGGTGACTAGAGCACCTCAAATTTCCAGGCATCAAATGTAATTTTTAGAAACCAAAACCAAGCAATGCATATGTAAACATTTAGTATAACTATTCACTCATATAATGTGCCAGTTTCATCAGCCTACCATTTTTAGTTATGACCACAGGTGTGGGAATAGGTTAGGGTGAAAAACTGAATTTCCTGAATTCTGGAAGAACACTAAAGTTTGAAAATGCTCTGCCCAGATGCTGATTGATGAGATGCAACAATGTCACTATATCACATAACCTGATAAATCCATGTGGTTCTACAACCTTACAGAGAGACAATTTTGATATCCACTGAAACCACCTTGTGTGGTTATTGCTCGATAAATAGTTATTGATTTTTCCTACATTAAGACTCCAAAACTAAGTCTCAGTATTTGAGTATCAGGATGGAGAGACAGCCCATGAAACAACTCGTAATACATTTAGACAACGATGTGAGATTGCATGTTTAGGTCTGCAAAAGAGAAATGATTCATCACAACCTTGAAAAGAGCTAACATATCCATAATAATTTCCATCTTCCTCCTGAGTGTGAGTGAATCATCCAGCAAGTTAACAGCAAACAGTTTTTTTTTTACTTTTAGTAGCTTCGTTACACTTAGAATCAATCCACATGTCCATTTAAATACTAACACCAGGTTCTGGCTACATGATATTTCTTTCTGGCTAGATGGTTACTATGTTAGATCAGGTGGTTAAAGAGTAATAAATTCCTGTCCAAGACACTGATAAGCCTCACATTATAAAGACAAATGAATGTCAAATGTGTCACACTACACAGAAAAATTGACTGTTTTAGATATTTTTTGTGACAAACCCCATGTTTTTACTACATATCACTGCTATAGTCTAGTATTACCAGTCTGACAGTTGTGTAGGTTAAGACCATAGATATAATGCTGTGAAATGACCAGCCAGCTTTTACATTGTTTTACTTTTACCTCCACTACTAACAGCTTTAGTAATTTATATTGCTCCTGCTGCAGGTGAAGCTGTGTGATTTTGGGTTTGCTCGAATCATTGGTGAGAAGTCATTCAGGCGTTCAGTGGTCGGAACACCAGCATATCTTGCTCCTGAAGTTCTGAGAAATAAAGGCTACAACCGCTCTCTGGACATGTGGTCAGTTGGAGTCATCATCTATGTCAGGTAGGATGAGACCTTTACTGATAAACATAATAGTCTGAGTAGATTTTGGTTTAAAATTTTATTCTTCTTTCTGCTTGTCTATTTCTGAATTTTTCCTTTATCTCATCCTTCTCCTTTTTTAGTTGTGTTTCTGTAAACACAATGTAACATCTATAGGATACTATCTATACTTTAATGAATTTCTATTATTATGAAAAGATTAGTGATAAATGTGCAAAAAACTAAAAGTATTTATGTTTTTGCAGTCTCAGTGGGACGTTCCCTTTCAATGAAGATGAAGATATTAATGATCAGATCCAGAATGCAGCCTTCATGTACCCCCCTCACCCCTGGAAAAAAATCTCCCAAGAAGGTGTGGCATGTTGCTGAGCCTCTCAACCAGAAGTCTACAAGACCTAAAGCTAACCCACAGAAAACCTACTTCATTCAAAAAAGATCTGACATGATGAGTAACATCTATTTGTGACATAATTGTCATATATATCTCTCCACAAAAATGTCCAAACTATCCTGGACGAGCCCCCATTTATGTTTTACGGCCTGGCTCAAGCCCTGTGTTTTCTTCTGCTTGTTACTGGTCCACCTGTGTTACCTCTGCGTGTCTTCCCTATGTTGCCTCAGCGTTATCTCTGTCAGCTTTCCCTGTTTCCCAGTTCCTCATCCCCCGGTTCTGCTCCACCCTCAGGTTACATGTTGTGCTTAGTTTTCCCAAGTTTAGGTGTTGTTAGTTTTCTCTGTTCCACCGGTTTGCAGTATTGTTCAGCCGAAGCCTCGCTGTCCGTTCAAAACATTCTCCTGCATCCGTGTCTGCATTTGGGTCCTCATTCTTCTATCATTCCACATGTCTGTTGCCGCAGCCATGACAAATATGGAGACTAATACCAGAATTTAAATGAGAAGAGGTTTTATTATTATATATAGCACCTTTTATTATTTATGTAACACATTAGCTAAAATAGCTGGTACTACTAAGACAGAGACTACTGTGCCTCCATGAAAGCCTGCCTCATATACTGTATGCCTTTATCCACACCTGACTAGGTGTGGTCAATTAGCAACAGCTGAACACTCCTTCACTACCACTTCAAAGAGATTAGGGGCTGCAGAGGGGCGCAACAAGCTAGGTTAATGCATGCATCACTAATAAAGAAGCCTATTCTTTCAGCCAGCAGAGGATAGCTTCCTTGGTTTCAAAGATGAGCTGAACATTGCTGGTGTCAGTTTCTTCTAAAGCATTTTTACTGGAATTATCTGAGAAAAATAGTTGCAAGGTTCAGACTGTCAAAGAAATCAGTGCTCTAGTTTTGGTATTTTATTAGCCTGTCATTAGCTTGTATGTTATGGACACTAGTTGCTAACAGAGCTTGCTAGCCTTAGCTTATGACATGGCACTCTGGAATCTTATCGAAATATAGGTCGTGTCCAAATTCATGGGCTGAGGACCCAGCCTTCGTGGTCTACGTGGGCCGGGTCCTCAGAAGGTCGGGTAGGCCGGAAGTAAACGGCTGGGGAAATTGGATGGTCTAGCCTTCTGATTAGCGTCACCGCTGTCTCGGTGTAGTTTAATAAACTC